TTTTTTTTTTTTTTTTTTAAAATTCTTGTTATCCTTTTGTGGCTGTGAGCTCTTTGGGATATGTGTTGTCCCCCTGTACCTGTCACCTTTCACCCAGCTGGGTCTCTGCAAGCTGTTTCAGGGAATGGATGTGGGTGTTTCATTTATTTTTTTCAGTTTTGCAGCCACTGCTTGTGGTAAGAGGCTGTGCGGTTCAGGCTGTGGAGGAGGTGCACACCACCTTCGCCCTCCTCCCTGAGTAGAGGCGCGTCTGCCCTTGCCCCAGTCCAAGAGATGGTTGTGGTGGGTAATTGCTCCTCCTGGCTTGTAGCATCTCTCATTTTTCTGAATCCAGCTGAAACCTTTGCTGAGTTTTTAAGGCCAGGTTGCTAAGTTACACCTCCTTGGAGGAGCAGGCTGAGCAGCGTGTTACAGGCAGGAGCAGCTGCTGGCTGGGAAGATCTGGGAGTGGTGTCCCTTTGCAATAACCGGGCTCTCCTGGCCCCTATCCCTGCCATCCTCTGTCAGTCCTGGGCTAATCTCAGTACCTCATTTAGCTGTTCTTCCACAAACCTTCAGCTTTATAAGCTTCCTTTCCTCGGCAGATTTAGTGAACTAATTGGCTGAGGGTGTGGAAGAGGCACCCACAACTACCTGTGAAACGCCGTGTGGTCCTGCAGGAGGAGCAGCAGCCATTTGGCTTTTCCATCTTCTTTTTTTGAATCCTCATTTGCCTTTTGAGGCTGTGAGCTCTTCAGGACACTCATTGTCCCCCTCGGAGCTTGGAAATGGCTTCGCATGTCAGGGCATACAGCTGTCACCAAGCCACAGCTCTGGAGCAGGCAAGCATGGTCTGGAGCAGCTGATGCCCTGCTCCTCTGCCCCTCTTCCTCTTTAGCCTTCCTCCCTGGCTTAACCTCCTTCTCTCCTTCCCATTTTCTGCAAGCAGCCTGGCTCTGGGAGGACGGGGCGGGGGGAGCTGGACTAGCACAGTGCGTGCTCAGGTTTGCCTGAGAGCTGCTGGGCCTGAGCACTGTGGCAGGGCAAGGGCTTCCTTCTTCCCAGGAATGGGACATCCTTGGAGGGTCACCATCCTTAGGCATTTCCAGGAGATGTGCGGGAGGTTTTCTTGCTCAGTTCCCTAGGAAATCATGTAAATCGGTGAGGTTTATTGGGGTCCTTTTTGGATTGTGAGTAGTGGTTTTAAGGTGACTTGTCCCCCCCTGCTTGCTATCTCTGTTGTGTTGCTGGATTTCTGCTGTGGCTGGTGTGGTGACTCTGTCCTTCCCCTGGGTAAGCTGGAGGCTCTGTCCTCTCTAGGTTGGGCTGGGAAGTGCTCTCTGGAGAGCAGCTTCTCCCTCATCGAAATAAGCGGGGAGGACAGGCTGGGGGTGTGTGTGTGTGCAGTTGCTTGCAGGAGGGATGCTGGATCTGGCTTTCCCTCGTTTAACTTGCATTAACCTTTTCTTTATCCCTCCTTTCCCTTTTATCTCTGCTCAGCCCTTCCCCTTTCTTTCCCTGGGGTGATGGAGAAGCCATGCGGTAAGGACATCACCATCGCCAGACGCGGCACATCTTTTGAGATGTGTTCTGCCTCTTCTTTTCGCCTTTTTTGTCACAGTGGCTTTTTTTGTTAGCTTGTTTGCTTTCAGTAAAAGCCTGGGGAAGCAGCACCCGTGTCCCCCGGGGTGTCACGGGCTCTGGCTCGGGTGGGGGATGCTGGAGCAGTCAGCTGGGCTTGCACCCTGCCTGGCACAACCAGCTTGTGCCCTGCAGCTGTCCCCAGGGCTGGTGGCAGGGGACCTGGCCCTGGTGACTGTTCTCACATTTCCCCATCTGTCTGCAGACTGGGAGTGATGAAGCTGTCACTGGGCTCCTGCCTGAGCTCTCGCATGCAGCCAGACGGATTTTTCCACCCTTGTCAAGACTTGATTATGTGCTCTCCTTTCTACCAAAACGCCGAACAGCAGCTAAATATAGGCTGTAACAGTGTTGATTATGGCTTTTCTAATTGAGCTTTACACTCCATCAGGTATCTTTACTAATGGAATGTGGCATCCTTGATAACGCCTAGCTGTGGAGCCTGCTTGGGAAGCATATGTAGATGAAATGTGACTTCCCGTTGGCATCAGGTCCTGGCTGACAGTTGCTGCTGAGGCCTCTGGAGTTGTGCATGGGATGGTAGATCCATGGAGCTGGAGTGTGCTGGGGAATTTGAGTTCAGATTTCAGATCTAAATGGGTTTCTAGTTGCTTTACTTTTTCTGATATAAATTATTGTCTGCAGCTATGCAGCTTAAAAATTGCTCCGTTAAGGGTGTGAATTCTTCCCTTTTTACCCCCACGTGATTTGTGTGAGTGGCACTGTAGGCACAAAGGGATGTTAGCACTTAAAATGCTAATGCCATTCTGCAGGTGATGGAGCTATAAGCAGGTGTGTTTAAAAGCACTGATATTTAAATGCAAGAAAAAAAGAATGTTTTGAACTCTGGCAGAGCCCAGGACTCATTTATGCAGCACAGCGATGTGTTAAGTTACATTCCTGTTGTCTTGTGCCAGTGAAATGTGTTACAATGAGAGGTACATACGTTTTACTGAAATAGAAACAACTCAGGATGCTAATTCTGGCTTTGTAACTCCTGGCGTAGCTTGTTTTCACATCGATGCAAGTGAAGCATGGGGCTTGGAGTGGGCAGGATGGTGCAGTGTGCCCAGCGCAGCTGCGGCGGTGCCTCTCCAGGGCCAGGGCAGTGCTGTCCCTGCAGCCGTCCCAGTCCCCAGAGTGCTCAGTGACAGCTCTGTGGAGCAGAGCGGCATTGCCCGGGAATCAAAGGCAAATGCAGTTAATGCAGAAATTAATAAATTTCTGAACCTAAATGTCGAAACGTGGTCCCCATCCCTGCTCTGATGGACGCATCTTTTAGGGTCTGGGTAAGAGGCCCTGGCGGTGAGTGCAGGGGCTGCCCCAGCAGCTGTGGCTCCTGCCCTCTACCCGAGTGCTGTCCGTGCCCGTTGCTGTGCACCCGATGCATTACCGTCCCGCAGGAGCCCTGCACGGTGCCGTAGCTCTGCCTCGGCCCCTGTGTCGCTGCTTGCCTGTGAATTATATCAGATGCCGACACCAGTCAGGAGCTGCTGTCACATTTGTAAAGGGAGTGAAAAATGATCATAATAAACGTAGCGGTGATAGGCAGCCACCCAGGGTCAGGAGCTTTTGCATGATAGACTCTCCCTGTGTGACCTTGAGGACTGGCTTAGTGGAAATAGGATGAAATTTAGTGCTGTAATGTGCAGGGAGGCAGAGTGTTCACCCTGCCATCCACTCTGGGAGCTCAGCTTTGCATGATGCTCTGGGACAGGTAGATGATGCCAGGTCTGAGCGGGAGGGAGGGCAAGCGAGGGGTGTGGAAACAGCCATGGGGAGTGAAAGCTCATTTTGTGAGAGGAGGCTGAAAGAACTTGCCTTAATCAGCCCGGAAAAATGCAGGCTGGAAGGAGCTGTGAATGAGGTATAAGGGAAATTAATCATGGGAGCAAACACCAGAGACGGGGAATAATTATTTAAGCTAAAGGTTAATATTGGCACAAGAACAAATGAGCATAAACCAGTTAAGAATTGAATTTTGGATGGAAATTTGAAGGTTTCGTACCATTCAGTATGAGATTTGGGAACAGCCTTGTGTGAGGAGGGGCCCTTTGCCAAGCCCCCTCGGGGGGTGCTGGGGAGCTTGGTTGGGCTCAGATGTGGGCTCCGTGACAGTGGGGGATGGGGCTGGACAGCCTTGGGGTGATCCCGGCCTGCAGCCCTCTGCACAGGGTGATTCCCCCCATGTGTCCTCGCACCACAGCGGTGCTGGGCACCCGTTCCGTTTTATCAGGTTTCTGGGATCTTTGCAGCCTGGCCTGGGCCAGTGTCATCCTGGAGGACAGCACCTGAGGCCCATCCCTTGAGGGACACTGTGGGGTGAAGCAGGAGAAAGTGGACCTGCTCCCATGCCCCACTGTGAGGCTCGGCATACTCTGGGGTTTTGGAGGAGAAGGAGGCTCGTGGTCACGCTGCTAGCACATTGGTGTGCATCTTGGTCACCCCCGCAGCTTTTGAGCCCCATCATCAGACTTGGTTGACTTTTGACCCCACAGAGACCTTGAACTTGTGTTCCTGTATGTTGCATGACACCTTTGTGACCTCTATAGTGCCTGCTGCATGAGTCTGTCTTGCTATAGTCTGAGCCTTCCCTATAGCACCTGTCCTTGGGACCCCTGAGTGACCTGGTTTCCACCACAAAAAGCATTCTGCTGTCTCAAGACGATGCTCAGTGCTAAGTGGGGTTTTTAACTTTCTTAAAGGGAATTTGTATCATTTCAGTCTTGAACCCTCTGGTTTGTTTGCTTAATTCTGATTATCTGTGAGTTTTGAGGTGGGGTGGCTGCTAGAATGCTTCATGTGCTGTTTATGCTGATTGTGGCTTGCAGCTCAAGATGCAAATCCTAATTAAAATACACTGGCGAAGGGAGAAGGCTTTACTGAAATAGCTGCAGCTTTGCAAATGAAGGGTGCAGTTTGGTGTTGGGAAGGACCATATGCTCTCAGTCCAGTGACAGCGTTATGTGTTACAGAAGGGTCCTGGCTTGAAGAAGCCATCTCACTGACTGAAAGGGGTATGCCCTGTGTTTTCTCCCCTCAAGGTCTCTGGACAGAAAGCTGCAGCGACCGCTCCTGGGGAAGTCCCGGACACTGCCCAGCATCCCGCAGTCCCCGGTCCTGAGCAGGCTTCCCCTCCTCGACTCCACGGCGTACAGGGAGGAGATGCCGGAGCAGAAGCCCTATAAGAAGCACTTGGCCTCCGACCGCCAGAAAGGCTGCACAGTCCCTTCTACTGGTGAGTGCCGCAGCACTGGGACGAGCTTCCACCCCATTCTACCAGGGGGCCTGCAAAATCCTAGCAAACCTTTCCTGCTTCTTTAGGGGCACGAATAACAAAATAAATCCAACCCCAGTCTGTGTGGCATTTATCCTGCTCCAAAACCAGCCCTTCTTGATGAGTTTGGAGTCTTCCCCCCTGCCCCGTCTGAGCCTTTCTTTGAGCCTCTTACTTAAACCTCCCCGTTTTTCATATTACGCTGATGAAAAAGCGGAGTTGGCTCGTCAAAGCTGCCCGATGTGGGGAGGTGATGCTCAGAACCTTCTGTCTCTGGGTGAGCTGCACCTCCTGCCCACCCATGCTGGGGCGAGCTGCTGCCTCAGTGGCTCTCTGGCCAAAGTGCCTCTTTTCTATGGCGTGAAGCAGCTTCAGGGTACTCATTGCTGGTCTCCATCAGGAGGAACGGCAGAGAGCGGCACGGCTGTGCTCTTCCCACAGTCCTGGCCTGGGGTGGGAATCTGCTGTAGCAAATGCTCCCCAGCCTGGTAGTGTGTGTTGGCCTTCAGGTCAACTGAGGGTTTTTATCATGTTCTTCTACTCTTGTGCTGATCCTGATGAAATACTAATATGGTTGGGCCAGCTGCTCTGAACAAGTTTATTGGCAAAACCATTGATGGCCGAAGTGTTTCAGTGCTTTTGGTGCCAGTGGAATCGCGCTGGGGGCATAAAAATGATGGGGAAAGGGATTATTAGCACTGAAACAAAAATAAGGCCTGCAAGCCAGGGCTGACAATCCAGCGCTAAATAAAATCCTTATAAAGCAGCTCCCTTCAAACAGCACCCTTGGATTTTTTTTTTTATTTTTATTATTTTTTTAAATCTAACCTGCTGTCGTGGTTTAACCTCAGTCGGCAACTGATCACCACACAGCCGCTCGCTCACTCCCCCCACCCCGGTGGGATGGGGGAGAGAATTGGAAGAGTAAAAGTGAGAAAAACTCATGGGTTGAGATAAAAACAGTTTAATAATTGAAATAAAATGATAATAATAATATGATAATAATAATAATACACAAAGCAAGTGATGCACAGTACAATTGCTCACCATCCGCCGACCGATGCCCAGCCAGTCCCCGAGCAGCGGCCCCCCCCGGCCAGCTTCCCCCAGTTTCTGTACTGAGCATGACGTCCCATGGTATGGAATGTCCCTTTGGCCAGTTTGGCTGTGCCCCCTCCCAGCTTCTTGTGCACCCCCAGCCTGCTCAGTCGGTAGAGCACGGGAAGCTGAAAAGTCCTTAACTAGTGTAAGCACTACCTAGCAACAGCTAAAACATCGGTGTGTTATCAACTTTGTTCTCATCCCAAATCCAAAACACAGCACTGCACCAGCTACTAGGAAGGAAATTAACTCTATCCCTGCCGAAACCAGGACACCTGCTCACAGTCAGATCACTGTGAGCTACCCAGCAGAGCAGCTGTCCAAACCCTGGATTAATTTTAATGCTCTGCAGGCTGCATTTCATTTCCTGGTGCTAGTAATTCTCCTAGAAGTTGTGCACAGAGAGGATCTTGGCACATCGCTGAGCCCATCCTGCTGCAGTCGTCACAGCTGCGCTCTTGGGTGTGCTGCAGCACCCGAGCGACTGCTCTCTGTTGCATGCAGGACCCGTGGTTTTCCTTTCAGCCCATCAAATTGTTAAAGTGGGTCTCGGCATGGGAGGAAGACCCATGGGAAAGCTTGTGTAGCTGACTCCTGGGGACACGAGGGAGTGGGACACTTGTGAGTAGGTAGGTAATTGCAGGCAACTCCGTTGCTTGGAATCGAAGACGGCTTGTGAGGTTCTGTGAGCCCTCAGGATTTCCTGGGTCATTGTTTGCAAGGACAGACCTGAATAAATGGTGGAAGTCTGCCTCCTGGTAGAGGGCAAAACAAAGTGCTTTGCAGGACTTGTGCCTGAGAGAGCAACCACCATGGAGGGCATGGCATTCAGAGCACCCTTCAGCACCTGGCAGGTCCCTGGTTGGTGTGCTGGTGCTTCCAGGGAGCTGTGCTGGAGGTGGAGGGAGGGAGTGGGAGGCTGGTGTAAGACCGTGGGATGAAGTCCCAGCATGAGTCAGACCCACTGCAAACCTCATCACCTTCTGCTGCAAACGCCTCCTCTCATGTGAATGCAGACGTGCTTGTGCACCGTGGAACAGCCACCCTAGAGCAAACCCTGTGCACAGCCCTCCCTGCACAGGGGGTGTAAGGAAGAGCCCTGATTGCACGTAACGAGTGTTTAGGATGTTGCTTTATTCATGGCTGGAAGGTGCTTAGGATACCAAGAAGAGGGAAGAGTATGAAAACCCTTGTAGGTTGGAAGGCTCCCTCCACACCCAAGAGTCTTGAATGAATGAATGAGGAGTTGTTTTCTGTCCAAATCCTCCCAGGTTCTTTTCCTGGCTCCTTGATACTCAGTTAGGAACTGCTAATTAGGTACTCATTAAGGCTAACAGCATGCTATCGTGGAGGAAAAAAAAAAAGATGCTTTTCTCAACAGTGCCTGGTTATTGTATCAGTCTTTCACAGCCTGGATCATGGGTTTGGCAGTATTTACCTGCAGTGCACAGCACTAAATTTGTCTGAGCCCTGGGACAACAAGCAGTGGCCTCGATCAGTGCGGAAGATCTGGCCTCGCTTGCAGGGATGCAGCAACCCTCAAGCTGCAGGGATCGCGCTACTAGCAGGGTGTGACATCTGGACAGCAGGACAAGAGCGGAGCAGCGCATGGCTGCTGGGAGGTTAACGAGCCCCGGTATGCTGATGAGGAAAGCAGGATTCCCACAAGTACTTATGAATGAGAGCTGGGCTGCAGGGTTTCAGGAGGGAGAGAAGATCCTTTCCTTAAAGAACTTGTGAATTTGCTTTGAGCAGGTGCCATCACTCCCCATTCGAGGCGGGGGACACATGGCCAAAGCCACCTTGGGAAGAGGCTTGCCCACAGGGGTGCAAGGCTTTGGCAGGAGCAGGACTGTTCGTGGGAGAGGTGGTAAGCTCATCTTCAGGGAGGGTTCACTGCTCTGCGGGGAAGAAACCGGGCTCTGGCTCGCTGCTGTCCTTGGGGCTGCAAGCAGAGGAGTTGCCAAGTGAGGTGGGACAAGCTGTCTCTTCCTTCATGGATGAGATGCAACATCCTCATCTGACCGCTGGGACATGTTCCCCAGCCATTAGCTTTGTGTCCCGTGGTTCCAGTGTGGCAGTGCTGGAGGAGGGGAGTGCCCTGTCACTCTGTGGGAGCTTACAGGAGATTGTCCTGCTGTGGCCCCACAGCTCCTATGCAGGTCCTTGTGTGGGCACCAAGGTGTCTGATGGGGAACCGGGACCCTGAGGATGGCCAGGAGAGCTGAGGGATGGTGAACTGGGTTTCCTGTTGGTCTTGTTTTGTTGTTCCCCTCCAGGTAACCTTCAATAAGTGGTGGTGTGGTCAGTTGGGACAGGCTCCAAGCTCTCCATCCTTTACCCCCTCGCCTGGAGCAGCTCTCCTAGGTTAACCCAAAACTCCTGATGGCCATAAGCCCAGGATATAGCAAGGGGGAGACAAGAGCAAACAGGGCTTGGTCAAACAGGGGCAGCTCCTGCATTGTCCAAACCATTATCTGTTTGGTGTCATGTTTTGCAGGCTTCACACGTGCTGGCAGCACAGAGAAATGAGCTGCCTTTTGCTTGTCCTTCCTTGTTCTGTGCCCCTGTGAAGTTTTAGGGGTGGGACTGAGAAACACTTTGTGTTGCACCCTTCAGGGGCTTCTTCTCAGCCTTTGGTTGCCTGCAGCTCATACCTGCCAGCCTGCACAGGGAGGTTACTGCATGTGTTTTGCATGCCTGACCCCTTGCAGTTCCCTCTGCCTTGCACCTGCAAGGAGCAGACCATGCTGGAGCTCTTCACTGCATCCTCTCTCCCTTGTCTGTCGTGCAACATGCCGAGCTCTTCAGAAACTGGCTCCATGCCCCACTGTGAAGCTGGGAGGAAGCTAACTGGTAGCACGGTTGGTGTGAGCTTATTAGGAATTATGCCCATGGGAGGAAAAGAAAGAAGTTGAAAGGAAGCGGCTGGATTTGAGCTTAGACCAGGACTCTGGAATTAATTTTCCTAATACTCACAGGGATGTTTTGGGTGGCTTTCCACAACGTCTGGATGAGTGTCAGTCTTGCATCTCTGTTGAACTTAGTGGGGGCATACGGCCCCCTCCTCAAACAGCTTTGCTTGTGAAGATGCCCACCTTGTGCTTTCAACTGGGTAGTGGTGCTGGTTCCCGTGCTCTTCTCCGTGGTGATGTGCTGTTGGATGAGAGGAAGATTCCTGGCTCTGAGACTTCAGCCCGGTACCTGGGCAATGTGCCACCCCCTGTGCAAGGGAGGAACAGAAGGGCCTTTTTACACTAGCCCATGCATCGGCGTTGGTGCTGAGGAAGATCTTTCGTGTTGCTCACAGCAGCTGAGGGATCAGCCTGTCCGTGCTGAGAGAGGAAGTATTGGAGAGGCAGCCGGTCTCTGTCCTTCCTGCCCCTCCATCCTTTGGTGCATGTCCTTACCAACACTTCAGATTCAGAAAGAAGAAAGATTTTGCAGCAATCGTTATTGCTAAGCACAAGAAGATGCTTGATCTTTTTAGAGGTGCTGATGTTGCCAGGCATAGCTCTGGACGGCAGAGAGGTGACCAGCTTCAAGGCAGAAGGGCATAAAGATGGTTGGACTCCAGCCTGTGGGCTTGCTCCTGTCCCTGGCATTTCCTCTCCAGGGACTTCTTGATCTTTCCCCTCTGACCTCTCCAGGTTCTGGGCTTGATCATTGATTTACTTGTTTGGTAAAAATCAGGAACAAGCTCCTTCAGCGTGTAGAAAAGCTTTTTGGGGTAGGCAAGGTCCTGGCTCTCCATTCCCGGGGAGGAGGGACTGTAGGCCTTCTGCTCGAGCAGGGGAGAGGTTTGGAGGGGAGCAGCTCTGCTGCTGGTCCTGCTCCAGGGCTGCGCTGGAGGATGCAGCTGCCTGTTAGTCCCTTGGAGAGAGTAGAGACTGAGAACAGCAAAATCAGTGGGAAACTGGGATCAGTGAGACCAGATGTGACCCTGTTGGTTTGTGGGGCTTGAACACCAACCCCTTCATCCTCAGGAGAGGCGTCCCACATGGAGGAGTGGGTGTAGTGGGTGGCTGTCCTTTCCCTTGTACCCTGGCAGCTGGGCTACGTTCAGCCCACAGCCTTGGTCCTCCCTCACCCAGGGCGGCAGAGCAGTGGTGGCCACGTCTGGGCATGCTGTGGGGCTGGGAAGGGATGGCCTTGGGGACAGAGGATGCTGTAAGTGGGGGCTGAGGCATTGCAGACGAGCAGGGGGCACCAGGGCTGGTTCCTCCTCCTGTGTGCGATTGTCCTGCGTGGTGGGTGGATCTCCTCCCGGGCTCGGTGCCTGTGTCACGGCGTTTCCTGCTGCGTCCCTGGAGTGATGCTACCTCGCAGTGGCAGTCTGGATCTGGGCTCCGATTGATGTGTTTGTGCCTTGAATAATCACAGCTTTCAAACAGCAGTTCATGTGTTGTATGAGTTGACATTTGGAGAGGAGCAGCAGCAGCTAATTAAATTGAAAGTAGCGGGGGGGAAAAGAAAGATGCACTGCTAGGTAGTGCTGTGCTCCAGGTTGCCTCTTTGTTCGCGTTTTTAAGCTCTCTGCCTTTCTCTTCTTCCCTCTTGTCCTCTCTGTTCTACTGGTTTCGACTTGGTGCCTTCAGATCCACTGGCAGGACTTTGCATGCAGCGAACTGTCTTTGTACCTTAAAAAGCTTGGGGAGCTTGGGGAAGAGACGTGTTTGTTGGGATGCAGAAGATGGAGCGGCCAGTCGCCGCTCTGAGGCTGCGGTGGCTTGTAGTCCAGCCTGTTTCTCATCATATTCAATGTAAAACCCACAGCCTTGCTGGGTAAACTACACTTCACTCACTGAATTGTGGCTGGTTTTTACCTTAGGACCTTTATCTGCTTTAAACTCTGGAAGTATTTTGCTCCTCAGCCCTGGCGTAGCAATGTCACGGTCATTCGTGCTCGAAGATGCCGGGTTTTTCAGAAAGCAGAGGCAAATGATCTTGCCTTGGGAAGATGCTGCCTGCAGGAGGAGAGTTTCTGAAGACGATCATGTGAGATGCCCTTTTGGGCTGCAATGGCTAATAATTGATCATTTTTACAAGAACTGAGCAAGAGGGTTGTATTGTTTATTTGTTATGGCTATTGAGAAGTGATTTTGGCTGGGGGGTGGGAGGCAGGGCAGACTCCATGTGTAAAGACAAGTTTGGCAACAAAAAGCATGTGGCATCCAAGCTCCTCGGAAAAGAGCAGAACAGTGATATTATGGAGACATTTCCAATTGTGTTTTGTTATTTTCCCTTTTGTTGCAATGAAATACGGTCAGTCCTACCCCGGGGGCGCTAGCTCTGCGTGATGCCGACTGTCCTCTGCCGCTGCTGCTTCCTCAGTGTCGATGAGGTTTTGTCTCCAGGCGCTCCAGCCCTGCAGTGCTGCCTCAGGTGGTGCTGCTGGCGATGGGCTGCGCGGAGCTCGAGGAGACCGGAGGTCTGGTTTCTGTCCTCAGTTTGGCTGTTGATTTGCTCTTGGACGTGCCATGAAGAGTTTTCTGGAGGAGGAGATGGCAGTAAATCCTTTTGCGATTTGCAACATTTGTGGTGTCTCAGTTTTCCCATTAACAAAGCAAGTTTTGTTATCATTACCAAGAACTGAGCATGTGAATACCTGCAAGAGAGAGGTTTGATACAGGCGTGTAGCATTAATGCTAGCAGCAAGAACTGCGTATGGTTCTGACTGTAGGATTTTTATTCCTTTAAAAAAACCAAAAACACCCAAAACACTTTCTTTTAATGTGGAATGTCTTATTCGACTTGAGGTGATGAAGAATGAGTGAAATTTTTTATTTCTTTATAAATGACCCTTTTAAATGGGATAACTCTATTAAAGGTAAATAGCAGGAAGTTTTTAAGTATTAGGATTTTGATCTGCTGTTTTTTCTGAGTAATAATATTTATACTGCAGTAGTGCCTGGAGGCCCTGACTCTGGCCAAGTCTTCGTTGTGCTCAACTGTATTTGACCAGTTCCTGCCAGGAAGAGGCTGGGGGCTGTGGGTACATGAGGCTGGACAGGGTGGGAGCAGGGGATGTTGCCTGGGGCAGGGAGGACCAAGGGGTACGCAGGGGCTTGTGGCGGGGACATGCCCTCTGACCCCCTCCAGGCAGTGAGTTCTGCAGCACCTGTACCCCACGGCACGGCAGTGCGTGCAGGATGGGCAGAGGGGGTCTGGGCTGTCCACCGGGCATCCCCGCTGGTGGGCTGGAGGAATAGGACGTGGCTCTGATGGGGTGGCATGTCCTTCTGCTCCCCAGGGGAGGCCTGGCGGCTGGAGGACGACTGCACGGATCCCCCCAGGGACCCCCAGCTCGGCACAGCGGTGGAGGACGCCCCCTTCAGCTACTTCCGCACCCGCTCCTTCTACATGAGGAAGAGCCTGTCGGTTGACAACCACCTGGGGTCCCTTGGCTATGCTGTCCACCCGGCAGAGACGAAGGCCGAGCGCGTCAAGACCAAGCTGCGGCGGCAATTCGTGAGTATCGGGGCATCCGCCTCCCCTGCGTTCACACACACACGCGGCTTCCCAAAAACACTGACATGTCGGAGAGCTATTTTTATGTGCAGCATTACCAAAACAACAGAAAAAGAGGCCACTCCAGCCTGGTGGAGCAGACGGCGGCAGCAGCTCGAGTTTGCCTACATCATGGCAGAGCCTCGCCTGCCTCGCCTGGCAGGGTTTTTGGCTCCCCGCTTCCCCCTGGGCTGTTGCTGGCTCGGAGGCGGCTGTTGCTCAGCCGGGTGATGCGTGGGGCGAGTGCCTTGTCTCTGGGCGCTGCCATCCAAAGTATGAAACAAGGTTGAAAGTAGGAAATAAGTTTTCCTGTCCTCCCTCTCCCCTGCACAAGAAACTGGGTCTTTTTGAGGGTTTGCAGATGGGCATAGCAAGGGGCTGGGGTGAGCAACGCTTGAGACCCTAGGGCAGCGCAGCCCTTTCTGGCCCTTCAGAGCATTCTGGTGGCAGGACGTCAGGGCTGCGCCGCGGCTGCGGGAGACTCTGGTCAATATTTAATGGGCTTTGCCTCTTCTCTTTCCCAGAGACACCTAATATAGGGGCTCGTATGGCCTTCCTCCTGCCTCGTTACTGGCCTTGGGGTTGTAATGAGGGCTCGGGTGTCCCCGTGTTGAAAAGCACTCGGTGTTGGCTGGAAATGGGTGAGAGCATCGGTACAATGGGAGCAGAGGGGGGAGTGGGTGCCCATGCGACTCAAAGTGCTGCCAAGAGCTGCTGGCTGAGGCAGCGGTGCTCACCCTGCCCATAGGCTTCGGACAGACACATCTTTGAGACCCTCTGGCCCCAAAGTCACTAACTTTCCTCTAGCCCGGAGGAGGGGCTGATCCCCCTGCCAGGTTGCACAGACTGGTGCTGCTTCTGGTGTCCCCTGGGCTGCGTCACTGCTGTAGGGTGTGGTTTTGGGGGCTCCCCCCCTCTGCTTGTGCTTGGATGGACTGTTGAACGTAGCCGCTCCTTTTCTCCCTGAGAGGACAGTTCTGACCTCAGCAGCGTCTTGACACTTTTCTGTGTGCAGCAGCAGTGGATGCCCATGAGGGTGAGTCTGGGGGAGCTGGTCACGACCCTGGCACTGCCAGCGGCACCCCTGAACCGTCTCTGTGGGAGCTGCTGCCTCTGGCTCGGGAAGCAAGTGAAAGCCTCAGGGATGGCGATGAGCAGAAGTGGGATGGGGCGTCCGATGAGCGGCTGAAAGACGTTGGAGGTGTTTAAGATGAGGCAGTCCTGCTGTGGGGTAAGGCATGGATATCCGCTTTATCTGTCTTTCAGCCTGGATCTGCAGCCCCCAGCTGCACCCAGGAGGGCAGAAAGGAGAGGAGGTCGCTGAGATGTTGGGGACAATTCCTCTTTCGGAGATGGTTTTTCAGTATCTCTGGGACCTGTCGCCCACAGCCTCCCTTCTGCAGCGGAGATGGGCACAAAAGGCATGGAAGGACTTGGGCTCTCAGCCCAACCAACGTCCTGGTGCCTGTGGAGAGGTGGGATCTGTCCGTGCCCATGGGGCAACCTGCTGCCCCTCGCCTGTGGGGCCAGTCCACTGCCTGCTCAGTGCCATGCCGGTAGCTCTCTGTGCTGTCTGCAGCTGGTTTGCTTTGGCCTTTGACTTCATGAGGTTTTGGGGACCTTAGCTTTCCTTGGTGTACCCATGGAGCTGATTTATGTCCATCAAGGAACAGAGCAGAATTTTTGTAGGGTGATTTTTTTTTTTTTCTTTCTCCCTTGCCTATGTAATTTCTGGTTTGTTTTAACAGCTAAAACATGTTGCTGTGGGCTTGGCCATGAGCTGTGACCTTGTGAGACCTACTGAGAAAAGCAAACTCATTCTACCTTGAAGGGGCATCATCAGGGCCCTTTGATGGAGGCTCGGGGCAGCGAGTGTGCAGGAAGCTGAGCCAGCAGCTTGTTAGCTGAGGCTTGGGCCGGTACGGGACCAGTATTCCCCACACAGCTAAAGAGCCTGGTTTTTAAGTTCAAAGTAAAGGTCCTGCCAACCTGGGGAAGTTATTTCCAAGAACAGGTAGCTAGTGCCGGGCTCCATGTCCTCCCAAGGTTTGCTAATTACTTTCCATCTCTGTGCTAGAGACGTTGCAGTTTCCCCTGGGTTCGTGTTATGCCCTGGCCTGCTGCACAATGCCTGCTCTGCCCAGCCCCGGCTCTCTGAGCGTGGCTGGTGGAGGAATTGGTGCCAGGTGAGAGCCGCTCTCCTTGTGCATGGCAGAGCATTTACAAGAGAGAATATGATTTGCCTTTCCTGCAGTGGCTCATCTGGGACCTTTTAGGAAAGTCCATATTTAAAGCTTGATTCATTTTTTCCGGGCTGTTGCACTTACCCAGCTCGTAATGTTAGATTTCTGGCTTTGCTCTTTCCGCGCTGACAGTCTGAGCTGCCTTTGCCTTGTGATGTGGCTGCTTGGCTTTTTATTTTGGGAATTGCTGAGACTGAGGGAAGAGGCTCCTGATACAGGGCTTTTGGGGAGGCAGCTGGGACCCTAACCTGGCAGGGTGGATGGAGATGGGGCAGAGCTATTGCCTGCGTGCATCCTGGGCTGTGCAGCTCTCTCGCATCCATTTGATGCTTTCTGCCTAACGAAGGCTTTGTGTTGGTCATGGGCATCTAAGCTTCTCCAGGGGAGAATTTATTGTAGCTCATCTGAAAACATTTGAGGCTTGCCTCCCTGCACCCCTGGGGTATGGCATGCTGGAACACTGCTGGTGTTGCCGAGGCATCTTTCTGCTTCCCTGCTGGTGCAGAGGGAGCACCGGCAAATCCTGCTCTGGCCCCGTTCCCCAGGAGCGGCCACCCTTTCCGTGTCTGCCGGAGGCGAGCACGCCTGCCTTCTTCCAAGAGTGCGATGGGGGGCAGATTTCCCCCGGCCATGTAGCTGGTGGCATGTGTCTGCGGTCCCACTGCTGGCATGTGATGGATCTGCGTGTACAGATTACTTGAATTTGCATAATTTGAATTTTAAATTAATTCAAATTTTTGTGATTGTCAGAACCAGTTTTCTTTCTAATAAGCCTTTCCTTTTAACTCCTCTAAGGCTTGTAATGTTGTCGACGTTTCTGCCTTTGAGAAAGAGGATCATTTGATTGCTTTTGACATCTGTCTCTCACACGGATCCCCTGCCTTGCTCCAGTGGGTCCAGCGTGTCCGTGCTGTGACAGAGGCAGCGGCCATGGCTGGGGCTGTGCTCTGAGACCTTGTGCGTATTGTTTTGAGTCGCTCAGTGATGGGCAAGGGACTGTTTTGGGTTTCGTGCCCAGCTAGATCTGTGCTGCCTCCGAGACGGGCAGCGAGGGGCAGGGGTGGGACCTTCTGCAGTGTCCCTTGCCTGGGGGGAGGAGGAGAGCGACGATGGCTGCGTTACAGGCTGTGGTGAAACTTCTTGTCTTCATAGGTGCCCTGATCAGTGAAGGCAGAATTAACCCTATTAAACTCAGTATTAGCCTTATGGAGCATTAAAGGAGGCCAACCAGGACTGAGTCACTGTCTGTGATGACTGCTAGGACAGTCAGTGCAGATTACAGCAGGGCTCTGAGTGAATTTGTACTCTTTCTTTTTCCCCTTGGGATTTTGAAGTACTCTGTATCTAGGCCAGTTGTTCTGGTGTTGCCCACTGATGTTGTGACGTTGTAAGGAAACCTATTAAACTGACAGCCCAGATCCCACTGCTCCCCAAAAAGGAAGAGCCAGCAGTGCCTGGGGTCCCTGCCTGCTGGCTGCTGGGTCATTAGCTTGAGTTGCAGCAGGTCTCTATCCTGACTCCTCTGAAACGAAATGCTGCACTTTGTGCATCACAGAAGAGTTGGCCAGTTTGCGCAGGTGAGATGGAGGA